ATCAAGTGTCAATTAAGACACTAATTTTCTACAATGCGTTCAGTAAAACATTTCCCCATCTTTCCACCAACTTCTATGAAATCATATGTCTTAAATTAAGACTGGTACTTAAGAGTTGAATTATGTTTGGCAAGCGAAGAGATTTTAAATTTAGAAAATTTCCATCGTTAGGTCGAGGACACTTTGTGAACAGGCTACTTGGGATTTCATCAGACCCAAAAAAAGAACGATAGTTTGTTGAAAGATACAGTACCGCATTCATAATTATGTAGAATTTTTCTCCATTTTTCTTTCTCCGTGTGAATGAGTCGCTCAGTGTCGTGGTCACAATTTCATTTGCTGTACTTGAATTTTGCACTTAATCATGCACCTCTGTGGATTCCAGACCCTTCATGCTCAGTTAATCTTGCTAAAAATTTTTCCAATTAATGAATCGAATCCTGTATATGTTTTGTTGTAGCGGCAGCACCATGTTCTGATAAATCTCTCGCAGGGTTGTGTACCAAAAAATTGGATTCTGTTTTTAGATATGTAAAACCAAGACCTTCTAAGCTTTTCATTATTTACTAATGTTCTGTATTACATGTCAAATGTCTGCCATCACATTCAATGGTACTGAGGTTTAAGTTTTACCGGATATTTACTGGCTAATAATACTGACTGACTGCTTAAGAAAGATTGTTGGTGATCGTTCATTTTTTTTTTTTTTTTTTTTTTTTTCTATGACAGCCAACTGCATGAATCCAAAAAATCAAAAATGTTTAGTTTTTCGCCGTTCTGCTGCCCGCCCCCATCTAAATGAAGAGATCTTTATATCATGGTTTCATGTCCTCCAGCTATTCGTTTGATGTCGATGAAGGAGGTTGTTCTTTCCAAATGCTGACTTGTAGATTGTTTGAGGATGATATATGCAGTCATGTTTTGCCGCGCCGATTGCAAGAAATATTAATACCCTCTAGAATCCCAGCATAATTGCAATTGCGGCAGGGTCTGACGGTTTACTTATTAGATGCAAAGTTATTTTTTCATCTTAGCTGAAATTTGTTTTCTCTCTTTTTTCTTATCTGTTTTCATGGCTCGTTATTCCGCTATTTCCACCTTTCTTCCCCTCGGCACTCAGATGGTTTGGTTCTTAATCTAAATCTGAAATACACTATGAATTGCCTTAATAAGAATAACTAAGAATTGACGTAATTACACTCAACAGTCCTAAATAAATGCGCGCTTCTCGTTAAATATAGTGCTGACTATTGAAAGCAAGCATATTTAAGAAAAAAAAAAAAAAAAAAAAAAAACGAAAAAAAGAGTACAGAAGAGACCTGAAAACTTGAAAAAAAAAAGCATGAAAATAATAAATTTAGCTTTAAAATTTAAAATGCACTCCACTGTTCCGAGTAAAACCAAAGATCAAACCTAAGATGCGACTGGCTGCAAAAAAATCTAAATGCCTTGCTTCATCTTGAAGATATAATGACGGTGTTCTGGACAAATGGAACAACTCGAATATTAATTGGAATTATTCAATTTGTCCAGGATGGCCCAAGGTTAATTTTTTTGGTTAGCTCTTTAAAAAAAGTTACTTCTCCATTTCCCAGCAGACGTTGCTATGGAAACCAGGCGAATTCTTCAACAAGCTATCGTTCTGTTTCTCATTTTTTTCTCATTTGAATACACCCCACCCAGACAGGAAACGATAGAGGGAATCCAGACGTTACTGATAGGGTCAGTCTGATTCTATCAATGATGTCAGGAGTCCCTCTATTGGCCTCTTTCTGATCTTATATTTATAGCTGTAATCGGCTGTACTTAACTTTATTTTAACACATGTTCCCTTAAAAGGGTTTTTTAGTATTTAATTAGAAATCTTCTTAAAAGAGGTTTTTTTAAACTTGGCCTTAAAACTACACTGAAGTGCCACTGAATTAGGGATAGGTAGTCAATAACGAGTTGGGCCTCCTCTGGCCTTTATAATGGCTGCCAAACGACGAAGCATAGATTCAATAAGTTTCTGGAGGCATTCTACGAGAATGGTGTGTGTATTGAGAATACGGCAAAGCACACTAGGGCTATCTGCCTAAGGGGAGGGATGCCTTTCGTGGAGGACTTTCTAAGGGAAACTGGCTCGTATACACGTTACACATGGGGAAAACCACGAAAACGCCCATGCAGCCAGCCCGTTCGCGGGATTCGAACCTCGGACCGAACTACCAGTGTTCAGCGATTTACCGCTCGGCCGCTGGTGGGCTCGCATTCTACGAGAATGGCTTGCCAAACATAAGATAGAGCTGTCTATAATTTAGGAAGAGTCGCTAGTGTTGTGTGATGAGGTTACAAACTTTTGTCCAAAACATCCGAAAGATGCTCAGTAGAACTTAAGTCAGGGCTCTTATGTAGCCAATTTACGACAGAAGTCAGAAGAATGCTCATCCAACCAGGCAGTAGCCAACTGGGACTTGGGAGAGGTGCACTTATCTTGCTGGGATACTCCATTTCCGTGTGAATGACAGGACAATATAAATGGATGGAGATGATCGCCCAGCAACTCTACGTACCGAATCATATTGAGGGAGGTTGCTACTAATACCAAAGATCCCAAACACTGCCAAGAGAAAACATCCCACACCATGATTACGCCACCATGGCCATGTACAATTCCAATTTGCCATACAGGATTCATGGCTTCATGAGTCTGACACCATATTCTCAGCCTCCCATCAGTCGGTTAATTAGTCGGAATCGAGACTCATCACTCCTTGCTACTTATTTCAAGTCCACTAGAGAGTCTATTCTCTGTATTCTCTTGCCCAGGCAAGAAGTGCAGCTCGATGGCATGCATTCAGCAAAGGTACTCACGTGGGTGTATGGCTTACGAAGCCCATATGGTGAAGCGAGCGTTGCACGATCCTTTTAAGCCGTCTCACACCACGCTTGTTCTAGGCTAATTGTCCTTTGCAATTTGCCCGATCGCTAGTTCTTTATCCGAGCATCCGAATATTCTCGGTATACTCTTGACACTGTCGACCTTGAAAATCCTAGCCCGCTGAGGATTTGGAAATTGAATGGCCCATGCGTGGAGTGCCTACTATCTGTCCGAGATTAAAGCTGTCTAAATCAGAAGTTTTACCCATCCTGATAATTGAAACAAATGATTAACAACAACCATAGTACTAGCTGTATGTACATATACCACAACTTCCTTACGTGAGCACAGATGCCGCAGAGCGCTATAAAATTTGCATAGCCATGTCTATCCCTAATTCAGTGGCACTTCAGTGTATTGACATTGTACTAAAATTAGAGAGCTGTTTTAGCTAACAACATACCAAATACGATCTAAAGTTATATTTGAATTTGCCGCTCACAAAAGTTGCCGCCCGGGGCAAGAACCCCGGCTTGCACCCCGCTAGATCCGGTACTGCGATGCAGAAGAAAACACGAGCATTTGAGTATGTAAGCAAGATAAGGATGTAAATTGAAAGGAATTGTGAATATGGAATATCAAGCCAGATGAGCCGTTTCTTTGTACTCAATACTGCAAATATTTAAGTAAAAAAGAAAATGAAAAAGGGGGTTATAGAAAAAGTGTCGACATCAGGGGCATAGTTTATTTCACCAAGATTATTTATTCCAGAGGATGCAAATTCTGAAGCATGAGAATACAAGAATACAAAGAGATCATTACGAGAAGAAAGTAGAGAAATATCAGGCCGTCTCCAATAGTCTGCATTAAATAAGAACGTTATGTTTCCCGATAATGTAATGCGCCTGTCAACAACCTCTCTTTTTTTAACGGAAATTTAAGTTTTTACAAATAGTTTGCACACATTGTGGTAACATAGGACGTGCAATAATGTTTAGCCAGCGACATTCGTCATATTGACTGAAAAGCTACATGTTATATTTTGTTTTATGAAATAACACATTGGTCCGAAAAATGGTCGCCTGAATTTAAAAGCAGCTTTCAAGTTGTATTCAAAATCCAAAAAAGAAAAGTCATTAAAAAGAAATATATATATCCTTTTCATCCCCTTATGTGCATAGCAGTTTGTCATTTTGGTAAAAATAAAGTCTAATTTATTGAAATACCCAAACTCTTTCGTGACACACAGCCTGAGAAATTGTTCTGTTTGAAGAAAAGGTGATGAATTCATAAAGGCGCGGCCACTTTAGTGCTTTTTATAGAGCTGCGGAAAAATTTTCAACAATTCAGCATTTTTCATAAGCGTGCAAGCACGATTACGCAAAATCTCCGCTTTTCATGAAGGTTCCAAAGATTGATTTCATCCCCTGCTTAATTCATTAATCAATAACTGAAACAGACTTGTTTCAAGCGAGAAACAGATCTTCGATTTGTGCACTCTTCCTTATGCCGCCACGTTACGAAGCTTTCTGTGTTTTCGAACAGCGGTCAACTTGCATGAAAATATGGCACCTGTATATGCCTGGCCATTCCTGTGATGTGATCCCTTAAAAAGTTCATATAAACATTAAATTAAAAGTTAATTAGGTTTTAACTAAACATTTCACACTTCAGAACATCATACTAACATATATAATGCCAGGTAATTGCTTAAAGGAATCAATATACACAAACAGTGAAATAATAATAATTCTAATTAACTATGATGAAATTACTAAAAAAAGTTTATAATTAAATATATACAAAAATAAATATATTAAAAAAATTACCGAGTCTAATAAAAATTAAAACTAATATTCATAAAAAAAGAATTTATTAAAAACAATTCAAAAAATAAACAGATTTTATAAAAATTCAAAAAGTATTTTATAAAATTATAATACTTCCTTCAATAAATTTAATTCTAATATCTATGTGAAGAATAAATAAAAGAAATTTTGGCTATCAAGTAAAATATACTTAATAAGACTTATCACAAAGATGATTATGATAGCAACAATTAAAGTTACATAATACAAAATAAAAATTATTAATAGAGAAAAGTATACTAGTTACATTTATTTCTTCAATAACGACTCACCTGATATAAAAAGAATCTCCCTTTTGATTATTTATTACATCTTCATATTCTATAAAATTGTGATGAGATTAGAAACTCATTAATTAAGATATAAGATGCAAATATCCAAAATAATTTTTATATCAATTATTATTTACTAATGTCATAAATGTAAATGTTGCTGAAATAATGTGGCCATTTACCATCTTTTCTGTACTGAACTATTAAATTAACTTGATCCTGAATACCAACAAGTAATGCAACAGCTTCTTCTTTGGTAAAACCTCGCATATCAATGTCATTCACCTTAGAAAAAAGTAGATAAAAATGTTAAGTATTTTCATTACAAAAGTCTCCAAACTGAAGTTTCTGATAAAAAGGATATAGTAAGTGATCTGAATTTACCTTTAATATCTTGTCACCTGCCTGCAGACCTTGTAAATAGGCAGATGTACCAGGCTGAACACCAGTTACGAAAATCCCAACTTCATTGCCACCAGTAAGGCGAATACCAACTGTGCCATCTTTCTGGAATGATATGAATCGAGGATCTGGTCTAAAAGATTGAAAAGAAGGCAAATGATATATTTGTAACATATTTCAAAATGCACGCATAATACTATATTTAGTTCTAATTCAAATTTATTGAAAAATATTTAAATAAATAGTTTATGAAAATAAAATTAGCATTTTTATTTCTTATTAAGCTTAATATAAAATATGAGAAAAGTAATTTTTAAAAAAGTAACTTTTTATACAGAACATATCAAAGAATTCCAAAAGCTGAAAAGTCTATAATAATTTCATTGCATTTCTGCCTATATATCAATCACTAAATGTAAGGAAAATATATAGTGCTTAAATGTAACTGAAATATTTCATTATTGTCTCAACTGCTATCAATTAATTAAAACTGTCTGATATATATTACAGATCTCATAAGCACAATTTAGGAGCCCCTTCTTCCCATTTCATTTTCTAATATTATTCCTTGTAAGTATTGTAAATGAACACTGAAGTAAATTTTCATTTTCATTTAAACGTGATTTAATAAACCATTGAAATAACACATATTTTAACAATTATTAATTATTCTGGTATAGAGAGTTTAAACTATATGAACTTACGGTGAAGAAGCCCTGTGAAATCCTTGTTCATAATTATCATGTCTTCCATCTAAATTTGAAAGAAAAGTGCACAGATTTAATAGATAATATCAATAAGAAAAAAAGAGATGAATGATAGAAACTAGAGCTGTAACAGAAGAATAAAGCTTCATTCAGAAGCTAGCTTGATTATCATTAGTGGTTTAAGCCGAACTTCGTTGCTAAGATTTACGGACTTTGTCTTAAAGTTCTAATTTTTAACTTTATGCCAAGTTGGTATAAGAACTGCCAATCATAGCGATGCCAACATTGGTCGATGGTTTCGCTGAGTCAGCTATACATTTATACAAACGCAACTTTCCCTTTTCTGATTGGCTTAAACCAAACAGGTGCGAATGGGCTTAAAATGATTTTTACACCTTAAACCACAAAACATTATTAACGTTGTCTGAATGAAGCTTTAAAGTCTGAAAATCATACAATTATTGTCACTAGAGAATAACAATAACTGTAACAAAAACAAAGTACTAGATGGGATATACCTTGAGGTAAAGGTGGTCTAGGTGGAACATACATATCTTCCATCCTATTAATACTAATTGGCATATGATTTCCAACATCTGAATGGCTGAGAGTATTGTCTGTCACATTGTGATTCCAGTTGCTCTCAGAGCTGCAATAAAAAATACGAATAATATGAAATTTATTTCAGTCAAACTAAAGTCAAGAATTACATTTTTGAAACAGCCTGCTGTAGGGCAACACTTGAATAAATATAAAGATAAAAATAAATAAATATATAAAAATCTGATATAAACATGACTTCCTTACACAGAATATTAAATTATATGCATTTTTTTCTGCATTTCGTTTCAACTCATTCCATCGAATTTTATTAGAGATATATTTCTCATTCAATTAATTCAGTTCTCACTTCGCGACAAGGCAAAGATATATGAAACCTCAAAGTATCTTTATTTAAAATTGAAAAATACAGAAAAGTATAAAACATAAATACAATTAAAACAATATAAAAACAATTTTTACAGTTAAAATTAGAGTTTCTACGCAAAAACAAGCAATTCGACTAGAGGGCAAGAAGGCAGATTTTTAGGTGCACAAAACTGAAAGTTTACTTTTGGCCTCACTGGGCAAAAAGACACTGAAGGCTTAGAAACTGAATCTATTGTGGACGCTATGCTGAGTAAATATATGGGATAATTTAATAAGTTAAATGATAATTCCAAAATGAATTAAGCATGATTTCATTTGCAATAATAAAAGAAGATGTTATCTTTGTTGTTGTGAAGCTTAGTTTCTATAGATTGGCAACAAATCCACTATTCTACTAAGTTTCAAATGTAAACAAATATTACTGCTATGGTTAAAAAAAAAATTAGGCTTAGCCGCACTTAAACAACATTTAAATTTTTGATAATTCAACATTGCGTGGAAGTTAACTAAAGGCATAAAAAACTTAACCAGAAGATAAGAACATCACAATTCAATCATTTTAAAGCAAAAAATGCACAATTTAGCAAAATATAAGAACAAAAAAACTGAACTCAATGAGCCGAGTAACAGAGTGGGTAGAGGCCGATTGCCACCAAAACGGGAGGTGCACAACTACATGCTATAGCAGTATACAAAATTTCAACGTTTTGAGGCTACTCTTTTCTGAGTTACGCGAGATACATTCGTACATACGTACGTATGTACGTACAGAGGCCACGAAAAAATTCTCTTCTGAATCCATTTTAAATTAGTTTTATAATTCGTTTGGGAAAAAAGTATCCTTTTTATTCTGTCCTTACGTACAGATGTCACGCAAAAACATCGTTAAATTGCATTCGATAGCGGTCAAAATGGATATTTTCGTTGAAATATGGTATTTACCTCATGCAAGGAAGTAAAGAATAACAGTTAAACAAAAATTGGAAATTTATTTGAACAGATGGCTGAAGTCTCTTTTGTAAATGCTTAATAAAATGTAAGATTAAAAAGATTCAAATTTCGTTATCTGATATCTGGAAAACATGTCGCATTTCTTATGTCCTGTCTGCTTTTTTTATGTCTATAAATATGTGTTAATCATCTATGTAACTTAAACCCATTTAGCATGTCCCTATTAGTGAGAAAAATCCCTTACTGCATTTTATGCTTCCATTTTTGTCGTGTTATTTTGTTTTTTGGAAAAAACATTTTGCTTTCGGTTGACTTTACAGGTTTTCACAAAAGATGAGAAACTGTCATACTGTCTGATTGAGAGAATTGTCATACTGTATGATGATGAGAAACTGTTAGCTACTTAATAGTAAGAGAAAATTGTAAGTAAAAATTATTACGAGCTCCATGAAATATGTTTACCTGTGTTCAGCTTACATGACTACTTCAATTAACAAAAAATATTTCTAGCACACTTTAAAACACTTTGATACAGAATAATCTTTTGCACGCCAGTGAACAATATTAAATTTTCCAGTCTAGTTCAGACATCTTGACTATTATTGATGTAATTTATAAAAAGTATAAATGGTATGCTTTACAATGATTTGATTTATGATATTATTGTAATACTCTTTTCTCTAATATTGTAATTAATGAAAGATGTTTGTAATGCTAATATTACTTGTTCTTGTGATTGTGATATGTAATTCTACTTCTTTATTTTTATTTTTCTCTTGGCTACAATTGGCTTCAGAAAGTAAATTGTAATCATGTAGGCAAAGGGGGGGAAGAAATTTTGATTGACGCAGTTGGACTATAGCAGGACGAGGGGGGGATTTTCATTCGTGTAGTTGGAGTACACCCAAAAAGAAAAAACATAATGAAAAAAAAAAAAAAAACTAATTCTCTTTCATTCTTAAAGACCTCTTTTAGTTCCTTTTACTGACAATGACCTTTTTATGAATTCACAAATAACATGGTCAATTGATCCATCATACTGTATAAGAAGAGCTAGAAATTACTAGCTTTCCTCTCTTGTATTGTTACAACCTCTAAATACTTTTTTTTTAATGGCGGCAACAGCCATTTTTAGGCTAACCTCTAATTATAAATATAAGCTTTATGTTATTATTTACTAAAACGTTAACTAATTCAACATTGTTTACTAAAAAACTAAGCTAAGTTTAACTTTATTTAAATAGCTTTTTCTAATTGCTAATATTTAAAGCTTAAAAAGTAATTTCTAATTTTTTCTTAATGACATACATGCATATATATCGCAGTATCATTCTGAAATATTTTCAAATGTGATACTTACCGAGATAAATTATTCTTATCCGCAATTTTTTCTATTCCTGATTTAAAATCTACAGAAAATTAAAAATCAATTTGAGGCTATAAGTTTTATATAAAAATCACAATGCCATTTGCATATTAAATACACAAATATCAAACATGTAATACATAAATAACAGAAAATGCAAACAGAAAATTTTTAATAAATTATGATTTTAAATAAATTAAAGTGTAAATTTGAAGTTTTTATGTAATGAATGCTACAGATTCAAAATCTTCTCTTGAAAAACGTTTACATAATTCAAAAATATTCACAGGAGGTTGTAATACAAACACAATTTAAGATTAAAGCTGAAATAAATAAATCTGGTTTATAATTTATGCTCTATTTTATGGGTAATGGTAAATTCCGTCCAAAATGTACTAAATTAACAATTATTTAGAAAATTACTTCAATCTAATTTAATGACAAAAAGGCCATAAATAAACTGAAATCTATTTTTCTTTAAATTTCATGTTTTATTTCAATCTTAAGGTGATTAGATTTCAGTTTAGCAACTCCTTACTAAAAAATATATTAATTGAAAAATATTTGTTTGGTTACAAATTTACTTAGCTTAGTAAGGGGGGGGGAGAATGAAAAATATTATTATGCCCAAGAGTTTAGCAATGTTAAAAAAAAAAAAAAAAAAAAAAAAAAAACCCTTACTTTAACATTAATGTTTTTAATAAGAAATATATCCTCCATGCAACAAAAACATAAAGTGTTTGTGTAAGAACACTCAATTAAAAGGCATACAAATATATATGCAGAGATTGTTGAAAAGTTAAACTTCAAAGATATTAATTATTACATACCCCTTGTTGGGGACTGAACATATACATTTTGATTGCTCCAGTGTGGGCGGGACGTAGAAATGTCAATGAAACTTGGTGAAGAACGAATATCTGTTGGAATGCAAAGGTGAATTTAAGAATAGTTACTAAACTGAAAAACATAGAATTGCTTCAGATTTAATAATTAAATGCAGAAGGTAAACAAGAGCAATATACGCTGTAATGTTTACGTACGCTGAAATGTTATATTTGTTAACCGAAATGCTGAATTTTCCAAATTGACAAAATTCTTTGATCCCAATATTTATACAATTTGAAACTTCGTCATAAAATGTCTGATTGTAAAAATAAATATCTTAAAACAAACTCATCTTGAAAGAAACTAAGGCCCATTATTTCCCGCATATCGATCGGCGAAACTGTTTTATAAATAACTACGTCAATTAAACATAAATACGTTTGAATCTTTTATATTGAAAATTCTCCTCCCCTTTCTCCTAAAAATATGTACTAGAATTAAAGGGAGATGCTAAATATGCACCTATTACTATTTTTAGATTCAACTATTACGAAAGTAACAATAAAAGTAGGGGTTCAAAAATTTTAAGAGTGGGTCGCTTCCAACATAAGGCTACAAAATTAGCTACTGAATAAAAATAAATTACCAAAATAAATAATACTATTTAATATTTCGGGGTTCTCCAAGCTAAAAGTATTTTAGGAGGCGTTTTGCGGAACCTGCGCGAACTGGTTGAATCCAAACTGGTTATATTTTTCCTCAAATATTTCTTAAATAAATCTTAGTGAATGCCTCAAATAAAATATTCTTGGGTTCGTAATGGATTGAACGCACACAGAATCGATAAAATTGATAAAACAACTTAATGAAATTTATTTTACCAAAAGATACACTTTACAGTTTTGGAACTTCTCACAAAAATGCTCATGCAGCTTTTCTCAGTATCGCAAAGAAACATCAGCAGTTACATTTCAAACTACTAAGAACGTTAGGCACAATACAATTCAAAGCGCATCTAAACAGCTAAAAACGAAGATATCTCCATACTCCGAAGTCGACTAAGTGAAAAGTTGAGAATATCCGAACAACTCTCTCGGGGCATATATAGTTTCCTCCGGATGCCGAGAAATCTCCAGCACCTTCCGTTTCTCGAAATTACTATAAGGCATATACGGTTAAAATTACCTTATAAATGCCGGTTACAGTTATAGGAATCAACTGTAGTTATTTAAATACAATACCAGTTACAGTTACGCAGGAAAGAGAGCAAAATGTCGCCAAACGGTCACCAAGCTTGGCGACGTCTGGCGATTTCTCGCAAAATTAGAGACAAAAATTAGTCATTAAAAACCATCGCTATGGCGATATCTCGCCAATTTAGCCAGATAGCCATTTATCTTCAACGTTTAATAAATTTGCCCCTGTGCTGTTATTTTTTCTGCAGAGTTTCGTCACTTAAAGCATTTCACCTTCCATTATATAAAAAATACTACAAAATTCGTAACAATATATTAAATGTAATTACAATACCTGCTATATTGTGTTCTAATGTTAGTCTAATCTAGTAGAAAATAAATTTCTTAATTTATGTGCCATGATACGTATTAATTAAATAATAAAATATAACCTACTAATTTGATAACATAGAAGAAATTTTAATGATTTAATGCAGTCATGCAGTACCTTTATGTGCTGTAATATTTGTTTCAGGAATATATCTGTTTGACCAGGGATCCTGAGATTCTGAAGATCTAATGCCATCTCTCCGAACAACTAGATGCAATTTTTCTTTTGTATTTTCAATTAGTTTCTTCGCTTCTTTCAGGGTTAGACCATCAAGACTGCTGTTATTTATCTGCGGGTAAAAAAAAATAGAGAGTTTTTTTTTAAAATTTAATCAACTTTAAAACTACTGTACTTCTTTTGCATTTAAAGGGACAATATCTTTCTTCTGCAAAGAACTCTTTCTACTACTCTCCATTCACTCTGATTATATTTTTATATTAAACAAATAAACAAAAAATTAAAGGGCAGTACGTAGAGTAAGATCTTAATTAGCTGAGGGAAGCAGTTCGGATAATAGGTTTTTATATTTCAGAAATTATAATTTTCATATTTCAGGTATTATAATTTTCAGTAAAGTCCTGAATATACTCATCAAACAATTTTTCATTATACACACAATAACTGAACGAAAGAAACAAATCTGGAATATTAAAGACTGCATGAGTGCAGCTGGACAGAAGAATAGCAATTATGAAAAAACCTTTAAAAGGATCCAAGAACTTAACTACCGATTTTCAGAGAACCGGAAGTAATCGGAAGTTTCAGAGAACCGCACCACACTTGAGGTATTATTTCCAGGTTCTCTCAACTTTGCCAACACTGATTTTTGACATATCGTTCGAATAATTCAGGCTGTACTCACAGATGTGTCAAAATTTGTTCAAAATATATATCAAATGTTTAAATAAAAATTTTTTATGACAGATATAGCATCAAGAAAAACGTTCTTTTCTTAAATAACCAAATGACTTTTACAAGGTTTACAATTTATTTTTCTTTTACAAGTTCTCATCATTCTAACATTTGGTGTTTAAATATTTATAAATACATTTAAGCAATTTTTTTTTTCAAACGTTTATAAAAACTCGGATAACTGTAAAACAAGATTTATTTTGCTTACAATTACCCGAATTTCTAAGATTTATTAACTGGTACAAATTCCAATTACCGAAAACCAACAGCATTATTTTACTGAATTTGCTTTCTTAAAATAAATTTACTAGTTTATTTACTATTCCTGAAATAGATCTAAAATTTAAAATTTATATGTATTTTAGTGAAGACTAACTTTTTATTTTACGCATGAAAAATTAATATTTCGCGAGAACTACAAGCCAATTTTTATTAGATCGCAAAAATTTCGAATTTCATTTTTTGAGGGGGGCGGTTGTTACATAAATATGAATATATACAGTGAAAATCGTTTAACATGAAACTGAGGGCATTTTTTCGTGTTAAAGGATATTGGAAAAAGAAAAAAAAAAAAAAAAAAAAAAAAAAACATATATTCAACAAAATTAAGTTTATTAGAGCACATTTTACTTATATGTATATATGCAGTATATATGCATGTATTTAATAAAAATAAATGAAACAAAAACATCCACAAGAACTTAATGAAATTTAATACAAAATTTTTAAAGTTTTTTGAAAAACAAAACTTTTATTGAATTTTTGGAAAATAATCTGATATTTTTCTTTGCATTGTCTTTTTTAGCATCAAACTGTTAACAAATTGTTCAATGTCGTCCATTTTGTTATTCATTTCACCATTGGAAAATGTGCGTCTAAATAACTGCGCATACTTTTTATGATGTTCCTTATTTCAGATGACATAGGAACAGGAGCAGCATGATTCATTTCATTTTCGTCGTTAAATGATATTTTTTTTAGCTTTGAACAAACCCCAAAATGTATTTGTCTGCCATAATTGGGGCTCTACACACATTATCATCAACTACTGCAGAGAATTCTTCTGATAATACAGTAGGACAGTCCATTAATACAGAAACTTTCTCAAACATTTCATTAAGTGTCGGCTCAGTGTCAACATCTTCCTTTTCCATTTCTTTTGGCGCCAAAGAATTTGATGCTTTTGAGAATCGTGCATGACGAAAACAATTTTCATTCGTCTTTAGAGTCAGTGAATTCCATACAGAGTGCAACATACAGAGGTTGGACAAAAATATGGAAACACCTTTAAAAAAACATGTTTCTTTGCTTAATATGGTGTAGGAAACCCGTTGGCATCCAAAACAGCTTGCAGTCTTCTCGGAATGAATAAATACAGTTCCTGTATGTTTGCCAAGGGAATATTATACCATTCTTCCTGCAAAACGGTGGCAAGTTCAGATAACGATGTTGGCGGTGGATAACGAGAACGTCGTTCCAATGTAGACCACAAAGGTTCGACAATATTCAGGTCTGGTGACTGTGGTGACCAGGAGAGATAGGACAACTCATCCTCGTGTTCAGAAAACCAGTCCTGGACAATGTGAGCTGTGTGAACAGGGGCTTTGTCGTCTTGGAAGACACCATCACCATCGGAGAACAAAGTTTGTACCAAAATGTTCACATAAGTCTTGGCAGTCATGTGCCTTGACACAGTTATCATGGGGCTAGCAGAGAACCACGATATGGCTGCCCAAACCATAACAGAACCCCTCAGTCTGTATTATAGGCTTGAGATGGCGTTCTCCAGACGTAAACTCGGCCAGAAGTTGGAAACAATGTGAAAGAAGACTCGTCAGACCATATTACTCGCTTCCACTGCTCTATAGTCCAGGCTTTATGACTTAAACACCACCTTTTCCTGTTACGGGCATTAGCATCACTGATGAGTGGCTTCTCAATTGCAGCACGGCCAGCAATTCCCTGTTTATGAAGCTCCCTTCTAATTGTTTTGGTACTCACAGGGTTCGGTAACACAACATTCATTTCAGCAGTAACTTTTGCAGCTGTGGTCTTCTTATTTTTCGTCACAATTGCCCTTAATGATCGTCTGTCACGATCACTCAGGACGCACTTTCGTCGTCCGCGCTGTGATTTAGCAGATGATGTTTTTCCGCTTTTCAAATATGCGGAATAAATCTTCGATATAGTAGTACCTCTTGAAACACTAAAACACCTCGGCTACCTTGCTTACGGAAGCACCTACCATACGTGCTCCAACAATTTGCCCACGTTCGAAGTCTGTTAACTCTGACATAATGCAATGACAACCTCACATAACAGTACTCCGACAACAACTGAACTGTTTAGCACATTTACGAAGTTGTATAGGTGGCGTCAGTAGTCAAAAACGCCAGCGCCACCTATATATTTTCATTAAAATCAATCTTTCTTTTCAAACATGCATTTCACAAGGTGTTTCCATATTTTTGTCCATCCACTGTATAAACCAAACTCACTGATTTTTACTCACACTGCGATGTACTCGTCACCGAATTCCAAAGCCAACTAATGAGAGATGAGATGTTTGTGTGGCGTTTGTAGGGGTGGAAGGTGCAAGTAGCTTAGATTAACAGAACTGGCTCGTGTCGTATGCTATTCCGAGGGTACTTCAAAGCCAAGCTAGCCTCCTTTCTACGAAACATGTGAAACACCTCTCTTTCATTTCACACCCCGCTTAAATCCGTGGCCTTCGAGAAGGTCACGTTAAATCTCGCCTACGAGGCCGGTATTTTCCGTATTCCATTCCCAGAAAGGATATCTTTTCGTGCTAAGCGATTTTTATTCCGAGAGAGAACGAAGAGAAACAAAATACATGAAAATATATAGTAATTTGTCGGGACCGTTGTATTATTTCGTGTTAACCGATATTTAGTCTTAAGCGTTTTAAGCGTTAAGTAATTACTGATGTACAGTGAACGTATTTCACTGTACATCAGTAATTGCTAATTTTTAAATTAAATTATTGTTAGCAACCATGCACATTTTTATTACTATGAGTTTCCTTTAACTGTAGAATGACTACACATCGGTGAGTCAATCACGATAATTTGCAGTTACAGTGGGTATATACACATTTTTAAAAGCATTTGGGGGAAGTATAATTAATGTACGTCAGGGGGCTTCGCAAAAATACGTTGAAAAGGTTATATGCAATAACCGTATCAGTCTTCATTTTTTCGAGAATTGCATTGGTACTTTTTAAAGTATGACTTGTTTTATCTTGATGAATTTTCAATCTTTGAAAGTCACTGAGATAAAAAAATGAAATTCTTTCTGTAAAACTTTCTGTTGATAATATATTTAGTTGATTTTTAAATTTTCCCCCATTCTTGTTATTTTTAATTTCCTGTTGTAAGGGAATCCAACGGCAATCATACACACTTTACCGAAACTTTCTTTGCATTGACGGACCCAGGTTGATACATTTTTTAATTTCTCTTTCGATGACAAATAGACCTTTTTGTTTTGTTGCAATCATTTAGGTAAAGTCATAAACAGTCAAAATATATTTCCATTTATCTCCTAAATAGTTTTCATACAGGGTTTTACAAATTGTTCAGCGTTGAGCCACATGCCTCGGCAAAAGCTAGTGAACAAACATTATGTGTTTTAACTTTCTTAAAGTTGTAAATCTTGGTTTATTATTTTAGTTACTGTTACAACAGATGTATTTAAAAACTTTTCAATTGATTTCTGTGTCAGCGGTTTTATTATTATTATTATTATTATTATTATTTTTTTTTTTTTTTTTTTTTTTTTTTTTTTTTCTTTTCTTGTTACCAACGATTTAACTTTAGAAATGTTAGGAACAGTACGTACTTTTTTCGGATATATGTTTGGAGTTTTCTTTTCATGTAGAAGTAATAAGTGGCGGTTTTGCTTTTTCTGAGCAATAATCTTGTTTATTTTGCATCTAGAAACTTTAATACCATGTAATTCACAGGAATTTTTAATTATGGAATATGAATATTTCTCTTCGGAAGCGCAAAAACACATCTTTCAACATACAGCTTGTTAACATACTACATTTTAAAAAAAAATTAATTTAAAAGTAGCAGACGACATTTCTTATTTCAAATAACAGGCTGTTACCAAAAATTTGCATTCCAAAACATATGCTTTTTAAAAATTCTTTATCAAAATTATGTGTAAACCCCTTTTGTATATACATCTGAGTTTGCTTTAGTTGAATATGACAAAGCACTTGAGGGTTATCTGCCTAAGGGAAGGGATGCTTTCGCAGAGGACTTTCTAAGAATTATTAAAAATTGACTCGTATCCAAGTTACACATGGGAAAAACCATGAAAACGCTATGCAGTCAGCCGTTTCGCCTGGAATTAAACCCAAATGGAACTACCAGTGGTCAGCGACTTTACCACTTGACCACTGGGTCCTATATATATATATATATATATATATATGGGAGTCAAATTAGAAAATGTTTCAAAAGTATTATCACAGAATATCATGATGCCTTATTTTAGGTTTGTTAGGCTGCTATCACACGTCGGTTTGTTTCGGAAGAACAACTGTTTGGAACAATTTTTCTGCTTTGTCACAACAGCCAATCACCATAGATCGCTTTGGGGTTAACACAGGGAAAACTGGTTCCCCATTACAAACCAGCTGACAGCTGATTGGTTTGAAAACGAGAAACTTGCAATTTTTTTTGAAAGGAAGGAAAAAATCGCACGTCTTTCTTTCAATAGTAAACCAGACAGAAAATTTGTCCGAAATAGTTGTTCGTGTCTTGCCGTGTGATATGGGCCTTAGAAGACGCCTTACAAACACACGTGTGATATAGGCCTTACAAACACACCGTGTGATATGGGCCTTACAAACGCCGTGTGATATGGGCCTTAGAAGCACACCAACTGTGCCATTTAGACTTTTTATTATTTCTACAGGTGTTCGGGATTGAAAGCATCAAAATTCATGCTATTTTAGCCTTTGTTTCTATTTTTTTCCTCTTCGCTATAGTTGGTGGGCAGATGTTTGGGGAGGCAGGTACTCAAAGAAAGAGGCTGGGCGAAATAACAAGTGCTTTTACTCATGTTATTATTTCAAAAAAAAAAAAAAAAAAAATCATGTTTACTATATCAACACCAATGACGTTAATGTTTTATTTAAATAGTGTAACAGTATTAGAGCTCATAGTTTAAATGGTACAACGTCCTTGTGACATCACTTTATTACATACATACCTAATACTCACGTGCTATCGCCCTTCGATTTAGTCGACCCCTGAATGGAAAGGCTGAAACGAGAGTACCTCTTACCTACCTTAAATAAAAGACTGAAATGGGACGATTTTCATAAAAAATTCTTGGAATGCTTGAAGTGGGACACAACGAAGAATATAGACGTTATTATCGCAATAGGTGGCACCTCCTAATGAGCCTTTGCCCCCCCCCCCCCAGAATGTGAAGAGTAACAATACTTAAAAAACAAACAAAATAAAGGTTATAGCTTTCTTGATGGTATTTGTATCATATGTTTATAATCACCATTCATTTTCTTTTCTCCACCAAAATTGACATGTCACTGACAAAAAATTCATATATATGCATATCAAGTTATTTCGCATCAGATTTTTCAATATGCAGTAAACTACTTCTGTAATTCACGAAATGTAAATTTAGTAAAGAATAAAATTTATTCAACTGAACATTATGAAATTAAATATATAAATAAGTAAAAAAGAACATAGAGACTGGTGGGATATATCTAGGAAATGTTTCGCTAAGAAAAATGTAAAAGTTTTATAAAAAATCAAATGGAACGTAAAATACCTTTGTTATGATATCCCCTTCTTGAATAGATTCATCTTTTGCTAAAAGCGACCTGTTTGTTATTTCTTTTATGTATATCCAACAGCCAAGAACAATTCCAAAATCTGGGAAAAGAAAATATTTGAAGTGTTGATAACAGTCCTTAGCATAACAGATACATACAGTTACTTTTCGAAAAGATATAAGAAATTATGTTCATGGGAAAATGATAATTCGTCTGCTGAATGCAAATGAACAGTTTTGAAAAATGTGTTAAGGAAAATAAGTTAAAGTTTCAGAATTAAGGAATATTCTTATTTTAAATACGCCGTACGTCATGCAAAGATAATAAATTTATTACCATCTTTCTTTTTGCTTTTAGTCAATGTAACTTTTAATGTTTGAGGACCATTTGTGTTCGGTGGTAAGACTACTCTTCGTTTGATTACCTAAAAGGAAAGAAAATATTTTTGATTAGTATTATTAGGTAAATAAATTCAAATCTTTCTTGGAGTAAACAAAAACTAATGAACTACTTGTCAAAAAGAAAAAGGGGAAAAATTCAACAATCTAAAAACGTGGAACGTAACGCCTCTTGATATACAAATACTCCAAATACAACTAAGCACGTCATTGAACATGCACAGCACAAACGTTCTTTGACAGGTTAAATATAGATACTTCCAAAACTGTCATACTTTTAAAGAAAAATCCAGTACTTTGCACCTGCTCTGTGTCACATACTTTCATAAAGTTTTTATTGGGAGCTAATATCATCATCATGCAAATTCAAGGTGAATTGCATGCATCCTTCCTGAAGCTGCAGTTTTAATGATTAACTCATATTATACTCACTTAATTTAATTTATAGCTGCATTTTATGTAATATTTTATTAAATTTTCGATACACAAAATAATAACATCTTGGTTAAAGTATAATAATAAAGCAGTAACAATGCCTTATGTAAAACGAGCTTTTTACTGAGTTATTTTTAAGTACTGTATACATTAATGCTTTTTCCTACAATTAAGAGATTAAAACAGCCTAGTCAACGGCATTTCATAATGAGTTAAATATTACAATAAAAAATATCAAAGGAAATAATAAAATATCATAGTTTGTTATTATTTATTTATTTATCTATTTTTATTTTAGGGCAAAGGAATTGTAGCTGTTAATAACGATGCAATAAATCAATTCAGAAAAGAATATGTCATTAAAAATAATTTAATCACCATAACGTTTGCTTTAAAAAAATCAGCGTTGCCATGACGAAATAAATAACTTATATTGCGCTTTTAAAAGTATTTTTTTCTGTATTTGAGACCTCATCAACGTACACGTCAATGAAAGAGATTAGCATTATTTTATTATCTAATGTAAATTTGTAATTTCACAACGGTATTATTAAGTAAGACGTTGATTTTTACAAAGAACACTACCATATACAGGTAACATCATTAATTATACTTGACTGACATTAAGAAAGGTTCTTAATTAGGCGTTTCTCGCAACTTTTGACTGCATAATCAATCTGAACATTTCGCACAGCAATGATTAATCATCAAACAAAATGCACTTAAATTAGCTGAACATGCAAAACTTTTAAAAAAGGAGAACCATAATATTACCGGATTTCTCATATTAGTTAATACAATAAATGCAGATATATTTTAACTAGCGATGGTAACAAATGCTGTTAAATTTTAAATAGTAATGAGTATTTTATTAAAAATTATGACGATATTTTATTATAATGAATACTTCCGCACTTTATATTGAGAAGAAAAATTCAGAAGAAAAGTGACTCAAATTCTAAAACACATTGCATACAGACCTTTAAAAAAAAAAAAAAAAAAAACTGAAATGTTTCAGATTTTAAATTACGTCCAAAGGGGCGTTTTTTAACATTTTGTGTGTTACCTTTCTTTATTAAATATCATGTTCCTCGCACTTAAACCATAAGATCCAGTGCAACAGCAATATCGCAAAATAGTTTTAAAACGAGCATATCTTTAGAATTTCCGATACAGAGACTCATTGTTGTTGCTCACAACGTTGCCATTGCTCGCTTTGAAATCCTTGAGTTTGTTAATCAAAAATTCGTCAAAGTTTTAAAAAATAGGAAATCGATCATAAAACAAATTTCAAATTTCAAATTTGGTCTTCCACATGCTCATATTCGTTGGAGGATTACGTTATTCAAAATTCGATGACTCTATGTACCGTTGTTTTTTTATCACAATACGAGAATATACATACATTTATGCAGATTTTCATTATTTAATTTCTTCAAATATAATGCAGGACTCTAACATTTTGTGGCAACAGTTTGAAAAGTGAGCCGACATTTATGAGTCCGACGCAAAATGCCAAAACGAAACTAATAGTCCTTCGGGATTCAAATCCCTTCGGACTAAAAAAAAAAAAAAAAAAAAAAAAAAAAAAAAGCTATATAATGAAGGATTAAATACACACAGTAATGCGACTTTTGGAGGGGGTGGAGCTGATTAGAGTCAATCCGAGATATACATTGCATATAGAAAGAATAAAGTGATTAAGCATCCCATAAAACGCAGGCTCCCATCTGCACCATCTTTACAGCGAAAAAAAATTCCAGCGCGCCCTCTTCCATTATAGTTAATTATGCTACATATATTGTTGCATATTATCTATACTTATTTTATCTGTCTATCTACCAAGAATCACATAGTAGACATTTATTAAAAGGACCATCAAATCTAGTAAAAAACTGCATATTAAAAATTAAAAAATAAATACATAATAAGAACCCCCCCAAAAAAAAATAATGAGATTGTTAAGAATGATGGAATTTTAAGTTTGTTAATGCGCGGTTCAAATTTCGTTAACATCAGTAACATATTACCAGCCGCCCAGCGGGTATAGTGATTAGCGTCGCTGACTGCCGTGCCCGGGTTCGAATCCCGGAGAAGGCATGGATGCATGTAAATGCATAGTGTCGATGCGAGCTGAAAGCTCTCTCGTGTGGTTAGTTGGAAGAGGATAGAGGTGGGAGACCCTCGGACCCGTCCTCCTGGGGTACTCTCCATCAAAATTGGGGTCGAAACTGTGCTAAATCGCACTGTCACGTGAATGGTGCTCAAGGCTTGCCAACGGCAGGCGTATTCTAGCGCTTCTTGCCACGAGGAATTTATTTGGCTTAGGCTGACTACGTCAGACAAGGGAGCATAAACAGCAATAACAATTTGATGATTCTGCTGTATGTGCATTTGCGATTTAAAACTCAACTCGGTACACTCATGTTTAAAATATACCGCAATCCCTCCGTAAAATCAGCATGAAAAACGTCTTAGTAATAAGTAACTAAGTGTTAGCAATTTTCCAGGAACTAATGATAATATGAGAAAGTGGCTGTATTCATCTCTAACTAGATTTCATTTCAATAGTTTTCTCACAGAAAAAGCAATGACGTTTTTTGTTTTAATTAAATTTAACTCATCAATTGCAGTTGTAAACTGACTTCATTGAATATTTTATTTTAAACAGGTTGTCAAATAAGCGATGTCATTTTTGGATGTAGTCAAGTTTTCATCTCCGTTTTCAAGTCTGGAAAAACGATTCAGGCAAATAACTTTTGACAGCCAACGAACTTTTTCCGAAGAGGAAGCGATTGTGAACTTCATTATTTTCAGTACAAAGTTCGCCAAATAATCTGTTATGCAATGAATTGCTTCTAATCTTATTGACTGCTCTAAATACAATGAAACGACGTAAACAGGCATAAATTCAATTTTCCTTTCTTTCTTTTTCCCTCCCCTCCCTTCTTTTTTCCTTTTTTGCAACCAAACGATGAATTGATGATGAATAACACACTGCACAGCAAGTAGATGTGATATTGATTGTTTCAAATGCGCTATGAAACCCTTATGATTGTCGGAGGACTATCAGTAGCGGCTGACAAAAATTAATGACATGATAAAATGATATTTCAAAGTATTTAGCCATTTCATCTATTTTTCTTTACATCCAGAGGAATTCTTCTGATGACATCTGAAGGTTTCTTACGTTTTCATTACTTCTTATGTTACTTAATATTATAGGTGGCTGTTTTAAATACTTTCTTTCCAGCCTTTGAAAGTAGGATAAAGCTTTGTCTTTTTTTATCAGCATGCATTTTCAAATACTCTTGCAGCTAAGATGGCTTCATTTGAGAAAACGTATTAGCAAATTAAATACATAGGTGCCACCCAACTGATATAGTGCTTAAAGCGTTGGCTGACTGCCGTGACGAAGGGCCCGGGTTCGAATCCCGGAGAAGGAATGGATGTTTGTAAATGTACAGTGTCCGTGTAGCATGGGGGCGCTCTAAATATTTGGCGAGCCGAAAGTCGGTGGTAAGAGAAGAGGGGTGGGTTTCACCTGTAATGTGCTCAAGACTGTTGCCAACGGCAGGCGCAATCTTGCGTTCCTAGCCCCAAAGAATTTGGTGGGCTTGGGCTGACTATAGACAAGACAAGTGAACATTAGTCAACAAACACACAGCGAATGACTGGTTTGTAGAAAAATGCATAAATCCATATTTCAAACACTGTACTGCCAGCATTTCTTCTTAGATTCAAATATTATGTAATATAAAATTTGTCTCGGTTTGAATAAACTATACTATAGATTTATAAATAGTTATAAAAATAATGGCTATATTGACTTATATCACTTTCATTCACGAATATGGATTATTGGCAAAGTACACAAAAATCATAAGACAATCCTAGAGCAATCGCTGTTTTTATAGATTTGATTTCGTGCACGCATCAAATTGTTTGTCTTTGCTTATTTGCGATGTAGGTGCACTTGCTCGGTAAACAACTCATCCCAAGCTCCCATATTTTTGTCGAAACATACTTGAGAGTAACTCGTATCTTTGCTTACCCTTGCTGAGACATGTCACCCACAATACAAAACCGAATTAGGTATACGTAATGCTAAATTAAATCTTTTAATACTTATTTACGCAATAACAATAAGATAAAAATTTAGATAGCTTCATAAAATATTTGTTCATGAAAACTGTAAGTAATTTCAAAGCATTTTATTATACTAATTTCCTAAACATATAGATATGACACGGTCGCCACTCTTGAGTGTCTTAACCATGGAGGTAGGAAGTAAGACGGAGTCGCCCTAAACAAAGTTTCTCCCGTACCCTGCTCTGAAGCACCGGCGATCCCTACGTGGTGACCAAAACATTGGGTCATTTACCATTGAGTTCAATGGGATTTGACGTGTTAGGATGTAAATATTTTGTAATTACGTCGTAAATATACATATAAATGTATATATTTTCTTTTTCTACAACACTTCACAGTCCTAAGTATTTGAAAACAATATATTTTTAAACAACATTTCATTCTGAACGGAATTAAATGCTATGCTTTTCACAGGACAGTTTTCTCAGAATGGTTTAAT